TGGCAAGCATTCTCAGACCTGGCCCCACAGGACCTTCTCTGGTGGCTCTCAGTCTGCTCCCTTGAGCCTGTGGCCTCCGGGCCATGGGGCCAGGGCTCCAGCCGTGTCTCTTTCCTTCCGGTGACAGATCAGGAAGCCAGCTGTGCCTCCCTCCAGTCTGCTCTTCCCACCGAGGTACGCTGTCTCTTCCACAAAACTCTCCTGGTAGTCTCCGGGGAGGTAGGGGGTCTCCGTGGCCGATGCCCAGAGCAGACCGAGGGCTGGGGGAACAGGAGGCAGCTGCTGGTGGATGGAGCGCCACCATGGCCTCATCTTGGCCAGGCCACAGGGATGTGACAGGAAAAACCAACTGCCCCCTGGAGCCTGGGGGAAGGAGCCTGCCTCCCAGGGCCCGGGGGAGGGGAGGGCGCCCTCCAGCCCAGCCTGGACTTGGGTCAAGCCAATAGGCTTCAAATCCAACTCAGCAATCATTTTCTGTGTAACATGGGGCACTCTCTTCTGAGAGCCTCTGTTTCCTCCTCTGAAAATGGGCATCATGGACCCACTTCACGGAGTCTGACGCAGCAGCTGCTCCTTTCTTCTTCCCCTTCCTTAAAGATGGGAGTCTGGGCCCCGGAAGATACTGCAGGATGTATGCACTGAGTAGCTGTTTAAGCCTTTCCTTGGAATTTGTGAGAACTGGCTTCTGTTCTGGAATTTTCAGCTTTGAGACTGCAGCTGCTGCCAAGTGCACCTGGCTATGAATGCGAAAAGTTGTGCCTTTCCCTAGGCCTAGGTAGCCACATGGCTTGCGTCCACACCTATCCTCTCTGTTGGCTGGGTGCCCGGCGCAGGGCGCTACCAATACAACTGTACCTGGCCCCTGTGTATTCTGCGCCCTTGGGAAAGTCATGGTCTCTTAAGCTGTCTGGGCTTCTGAGCTTCAGTTTAGCCCATCGATAAAATGGGGTTCTACAGTTATTCCTTACATATTCACACACATTGCAAGTCTTCCTCAGGTAGTTCTGGGCTCTTAGAGAAACCAGAGCTTGTTACACCCTCCAGGACATGTTTATGAGCAGGATGGGGAGGCTGTGAGATGTGAGCCACACCCTCCCTCCTCAGGGTCACACAGGGCAGCATGGAAGTCTCTAGTCTCCCACCTGGGCTCCATACCGGGGCCTTTCCTGCTGGGGTCAGCTGGGGCCTTGGGCCCGCCAGGAAGCAGAGCCCAGCCTGGCAGGGATGGGGCTGCGGTGGACACAACTTTAACGTGCGTGCATGCTGGAACCACGCCTAGGTCACGCAAACCCAAGAGTTAACTTCTGGGCCAAAAGGAATAGCATCAGGCATCTTCAGAGAGACCTGAGCCCCCTCCCGCCACAACAGCTGCCGGTGCTGGGGAGGGGTGGCAGGTTTCCACACTGTAAAGCACTCGATCCATAGTGTTAGGATTATTGCAAATAGCACGACCTTCCTGATGCCCTAAGGGCTCAGTGGCACCCACTAAGTGCCAGGCCTGTATGAGTACTGGGGTCACGATGGAGCATGACACAGGCTCTGCTTTCAGGAACTCAGAGGAAAGTGGGCAAGACAGTGTCGATGGAGCCCAGAGGAGGTGGAGATGGTCTTAAGCCAGGCTTGCTGGAGCTGGGCGTCAGGGAGGAAACTTTTCTAGACAATCTGAAATTCACAATGTAGTTCTTGTCTCCATTTTTCAGATGCAGAAACGGAGTCTGGGAAAGGCCCACAGCTGTTCCCTGAAGGAGCTGGGACTCTGACCCAGGGCTGCCTCGCTTCAAAGCTGGAGCTCTGTCACCTACAGCAGGTCCGGGCCCTTCTTCCCGATTCACTCCTAGGGGCGCTTTGGGGATCCTGATTTGAAGGGTGAGCAGGGGCTGACCACGAAGGGCCTTGAATGCCAGGCCAAGGAGTCTGGGCTTTCTTCTGAAGGTCTGGGGCAGCTGCTGGTGGGTTTTCAGGTGGGGCAGCAGGTCGAAGAGGTGGCACAGCCTGGAAGGCTCCAGAGCTTGCCAGAAGGGGTGGCCCTGGCTGTGGGAAGCCGAGCAATCCCAGCCCCACCTGCTGCCCATAAGGAATGAAGAGGGGCGTGGGGGTCCTGGGGGCCAATGTCTCAGGACTCAGGTGTGGACCTGGGGTTCTGGAAGGGCCCCCACCGCTTCAACATAGGAGTGCAAGGAGGGGGCCTGAACTCACACCTGGGCAGGGGCTGGGCCGGGAACCGTGAGGGTACGGGAAGGGGAGTTGGTTCCCATTTCCCAGGGCAGACGTCAGAAGTGGTTAGTAGGGCAGGGCCCAAAAGTCTGAGGCCTAGGAGCCATTTCCTCTTTCCCACAGCATGAACTACATCACTCCCGCAACACTCCCCCCCCCCCCCCCCGCAACCCGTTCCAGTTCTACCTTGTACCAGGTAGGCCCTGGCTAGGAGGCTAGGGGAGAAAGAAGCTTTAGGAACCAAAGCCCCACCAGTCCCTCTGTACCTGGGGAGGGGAAAGACTGAAAACCAAAGCCAGCCAGAAACAGGGCTCTTCCAGCGCACAGCAGCCCCACCCAAGCCTCCTCCTTGATGTTCAACTACATTTCATTTCGCTTGAGCCCCATACTGATCCAACCTTGATCCTGAACCCAATCCTAACCAGCCTCCACATAATCTACAATCCCAACATCAACCCAATCCCAGCGGCTCCCCATTCCAAACCTAACCCTGACATCCCCCCCGGCCCTCAGCTCCATTCTAACCCTTCCCCAGACTCAAACCCCACTCTGAGTCCTGTTTTGAACTCCTACCACTAACCGCGCCTCCATCTTGCCCCAGCTTAGCCCCAACCCCAACCCAGAACCTCAGGCTGACGCTAACCAGCTTTCCTTTCACCCTAACCCAGCTCAACTCCACCCACCCCAGTTCAGTGCCAGGGCCAACCTCAGCCGTACTCCAGATCTGCACCTGGCGTTCACCTCCATCCCAATCACAGCAAACTCTACCCTTACGCAAAATGTCTAGCCTCACCTTCAACCTGGACTCCATCCATGACCCTCCCAGAGCCTATCCCGTTCCCCACCCCCATCCAGTGCACACTCCCACCCAGTGCTCAGTGAGCAGAGGCCACCATGTGGCTGGACTGGACGTGCAGACCCCAGCGTGGGCACGCACACACACACACACACACACACAGGGGAGAGGGGAGGGAAGTCCAGTCCAGCTGGCCTGGGAGGGCAGGTAGGGCAAGTGTTTCCTGCCCACCACCCCCCACATCCCCCACCCCCCCGCCTTGGGCCAGACCCCTTTGTAGTTTCCTGCCTGTCAGGTTCTGCTCCTCCAGGCCCTTCTTCAATACTGACTCTCTCCACCCTGGGATTCCTGCCCCTGTCGCCTTCCTGAAAGCTGTCCTGGCTTCTGGCCTGGCTTGTTTGTAGATTAGAACAATGGAGCGCTGAGGGCTTTCCTTCTTCTGTGTCCTGGGGGCCTTGCTCACAAGAGAACACAAGGAACATCCACTGAGCCAGAGGGTCTGAGTCTAGAGGGGCAGAAACACACACCCAAGGAAGCCTACCCAACAAGACCTCCAGTGGGGGAATGTATCTGGTTCTACGGGAACTTAGGTTCTTTCGCTGGGGATGCAGTGGGGGTTATTTGGTCTGGGCCTTCAAGTTTGAGTAGGAGTTTACCTAGTGACAAGGATGGAAAAGCCTTCCAGGCAGATAAAACAGCATGTTCAAAGGCAGGGAAGCCTGTTCAGGAAGCGTGGGGGAGGTGAGCCTGGTGAGAAAGGTCAGGATGGGGAAATTAGGCTGCTCTAGTTGGGGAAGAAGGGAAGCAGAAGGGGAGGGCACACATGGTGGGGGCAGTAGTTGGAAGGCAGAAACAGGACTGAGGAGGTTAGGGGAGCAGGGGCTAGGGTATCTGGAGGGAGAGGGGAGGAGTTCATTCTACGACAATCTGAGGCTGAAGGACAGGCAAGGTCAGCACAAGATGAGGAAACGCTGTGGCTCAGATGGGCAAGTGGTCACCAGAGGGGTCAACGGGGATCAGAAGCTGCTGCTGCTCTTGATAAAAATAATAATGGGATTACTTTTACTGAGTAAAAGTAAAAAGCTTTCTGTGTGCCAGGCACTGAGCTAAGCATCTTTACAACATCTCTAATCCTCAGAATAAGCCCACAAGGTAGGTGTTAGTAGTAGTATTGATCCACAAGGGGTGCTGAGGCTTGGAGAGGAAAAACAATTTGCCCAAGTTCACACACATTAAAATCATGCAGTACAGGTGGCACTTGAACCCAGGCCCGTGGGACAGCAGAGCTGAGTCCTTCCTTAAAGTCATAGTGGCCAAACCTAGTACCTACCTTGGTCTACAACTCATCTCTCATCATTTGAAGCCCCCTGGTAACCCCCTCTTCCCCTAGGCTGAACTACTCACATTCCCTGAATATTCCAGGCCTGCTTGTTCCACATGTAGCGTCCTTTGCAAGAAATAGCCTATCCCTGGCCCCTTTTCTAAGAAAATTCCACCCATTCTCCAGAACTCAGTGCTGACACAACCTCCTTTGGGAAATCTTCCTGAACTCCCTGCCTCTGGGCTGGGTGGGATGGCTCCTCCATCCACCCCCCAACCCCCACTCCCCTAATCACCCTGCATTGCCCCCGTCTGGGCCTCCCTCCTTAAGGACTGGGCTGGGTATGCAGCCCCATCCCAGCTCGGGGCCTGACCTAGAGCAGGTGTCAGTGAGTGTGTGTGGTTGGTCAATGGACACTGGACCTAGCCTGGCTCGGGGATAAACTGGGAGCCCAGGGAGGGGCAGGGGCTCTCTGCCTGGCTCCGGGGACTGATCTCTTATCTTCCAGGGCTGTCTCGAGCCTTATCTGATTAGGCCTGAGTTGACAGGCTAGCCGATGAGATGCTGATAAGGCTCCCTGGTTACTCAGTAACCCTGCCCTCGTTAAAAGTCCCACTGTTCCCTCTGGCATCCAGAACCAATCGTTCCTCCCTCTTGGGCGCTGCTGCCATGAATACCTTCCTGCTCTCTGCACTGTGCCTCCTTGGGACCTGGGCTGTCCTGGCAGGGGGAGTCACCGTGCAGGTAAATCCTCTGTCCCTCCCCTGGCCCAGGTGACTCTCTGCTCCCCAGTGCCCAGGGCCTGTCCCCGGAGAGAGCACTCCCTCCTTAGGGCTGGAGCAGAGGGTGTGTCTCAGGTGTGGCACTTACCCAGGAACCCGTCTCTCAGCCCTGCCTCATACCCCTTCCCCTTCAAACTTGGAGGACAGAAGAGAACCATTTGGGAAAGGGAGGTGATTAGCCAATTTACTGAGTGCTTGCCATGAGCCAGGCTCCTCAAGTGAGGCCCCACGCTCACCCTGCGAAAGTAAGATTAGTCCCATTTTTCGGAGTTGGATAACAGCCTCAGAGAAGTTCTGTAACTGGCCCTAGGCACGTGGCTGGGAAGTGAAGGAGCTAGATTCAATTCTAGACCTTACTCCTCAGTCCTGTCCTCAGCCAGAGCGCCGGCCTGGGTCTTGGAAATCATGCGGACATCCTGGGGCAGGCTGCAGCCTGACCTCACACTCTGGACATGTCTCTCTCAGGATGGAAAGTTCTCTTTTCCTCTGGAGTCAGTGAAGAAGCTCAAGGACCTCCGGGAGCTCCAAGAGTCCAGCACCTGGAAGAGCAGGAAGAGTGGTGGGCCCGTGGTTCCCCAAGTCTGCAGCCACCTGAAGTTTCCGGAAGAACTCAAGCCTCTCTGCAAGGAGACCGATGCCCAGGAGATCCTCCATAGGCTGGGTGAGTAGCCTCCTCTCTGGTGGGTGGGGCCTGGGAACTCCCTGATTGGTGGCCCGGGAGGGGGAGGTGTGTTCTGATTGGTGGGTCTGCTGAACCTGCTGGAAGTAGTTCTAAGTTGTAATTGGCGAAGCTTACTTTTGAAAGATCCTCGCTCTGACCGATGTTGGTTGGTAGTTCTGCGCCGCGGGCCCTCTGGCCCTAGCTCTTGCTCCTTCTGGGTGGAATCCCCACTCTGACTGGTTGGCTTGAGCGGTACCTGTTGGGGGCGAAAAGACCGGCGGGTGGGAGGGGACAGGCCTGGTTTTGTCCTGGGGCCTCAGTGGCAGACGTCCAAGCTCTGGAGCAAGGGAAGGAGGGGCTCTGACTCTCTCGGCACCCCATCTCTCCTGCGCAGAGGCCATCGCCGAGGACCCGAGATCGTGCGAGATCTGTGCCTTCGCGGCCTGTGCCGGATGCTAGGACACAGGCCTCCTGGCCATCCCCCGCGGGATGCTCACACTACGGAAGCAAGAAGCAGCTCGGCCGGGCCTCCAGGGGAGGAGTGAAGAGGGGGTGGCCTGGGGCGTCCTGGGGAGGCCCAGCCCCTGACCCATCCGAGTTGCCGGCATTTCCCAAGATCCACTGCAGCCCTCAGCTAATAAACCAGTTGCCAGAGTCCTCCTGGTGTCGCTTCCTTCCTGCCTTCATTTGTCAGTGGACTGATGATCAGCCAGCTTTATAATATAAGGGTGCCTGCCCTGCCCCGGCAAGCTCAGAGTTTAGTGTGTGCCTCCCCCTATTAAGCTGCCACCCCCCCTGGGGCTGCCACCACACACAGGCACCCAGGGGACCTCAACCTCCAGACCACTCCTGGGCGGGGGGGGGGCGGGGAACCTCTGCTTTTCCTTCCCATCTGCGCAGGGTCGGGGAGAACACCAGAGCCGCTAACGCCATGAGTGAGCACAGGAGTCTGTGCCCGCTTGGGTGTCCCACATATAGCTGGAGCGGCCCTGAGACTGGCCGCCGGCTCTGGAGTGTTCAAGGTCCCTCAGGTCCTGGCCCCCCACCCCCCACGGCAGTGTAGCTTCCTGCCCTCCCCGAGGGGACCACACCTCCAGCCCCAACCCTCACCACTTCCTCAGCTCCCCTCACCTGTGCTCTCTGCTCCTCTTCCCACACTCCTGGCCTGAGAAACTCCTACTGAGGCCCCGAGGCTGTGCTCCCATGGCCTCTCCTCAGAAGCCTCCCCCTCGCAGGAGTCTTCGTGCTCCCACTCTGTCCCCAGTGCTCTGTGGGCACTTTGATCAGCCCCGCTGGGCTGTACTGGCTTCTGTGACCCCCAGAGCGGGTAAAACCCACCACACCTGCCTGAGGATAAGACCCAGGGCGGGGGAAAGCCAGAGCTACACAGGCCGGCCTCAGGTCTTGCATATACTTTCCCTCCCTGTGCCTCAGTGTCCTCCCCTGTAAAACTGGGACTGTGATAGTAGCTGCCTCCCAGGCTGGGTGAAATAATGCTGCAAATGTGTATGTCATGCACATCAAGTTCAGGCCGTGTGCAGAGAATCAATAAATGGTAAAAACAAACCAGAAGATGGGGAAAGAGGGTCAAGCTGACACTGGTTCAGACAGGGGCAAGGAGGTGAGGCACGGAGGGCTGCTTGTTAGCAAAGTTAGAGGGAATGGGAAAAGATGAGGTGACCAGGGCATTTCTTGGGGAGTTGGGTGGAGGGGAAGTGCCACAGGGTGATTCAGGCAGAATTCCTTGGGCTGCAGAATTCAGAGGGTGAGGTGTCTTTAGGGCCAGGTCAGGAGAGGCTTTGTGAAGGGGGAGGGGAGGCGGGCATTTGCATTAGTGCTTAGGATGTGCATTGGGGTGGATGGACAATCAAAACCAATCTGGAGGTAGGGAGGCAGAGGGCATTCCAGAAGGTGGAGTAGGTGCTGAATGGCGAAGGTCTGAGGCCCTGGAAGGGTCCGGTCTGGACAAGGTGGGGGCTCCTGGGAGGCACACAGGGCTGGGTTTGAACCTGCCCATGTTACTTACAAGTTCTGAACCCCTCTCTGAGACTTGGTTTCCTCATCCGAAAATGGGGATGCTAACAGACCCCACTGCCCAGGGTTGCAGGGGGATTTGATGAGGTGCAGGGTAGGACAGGGTCATTCAGTGCTCCCACTCTGGACCTGGACTCTGGGGCTGGATCCTGGCTCTGCCTGTTACCAGCTGTGTGACTGTGGCCAGCCCTCAGCCTCTTCTCCCCTCAGGCTCCTCGTCTGTAAAACGGGGATGACAAGAACCCCTATTTTGTAGGGTTGAGCGAGGATTAAATGAGGTAACACAGGAAAAGCTGGTAGAGCCCTGCTGAGCCCATAGTGGGCCCTCTGCTGGTGCTGCTGTTACTCTTTCTGTGTAGGTGGCTCAGCCTGAGCCTGGCTCTCATGCTCCGTCAGACACAGTTCTCTTACCTGCCTCCTCCCCAGGCAGGTGGGGACCCAGCATAGCTGAGGGGAGCAGTGGGAGCTGAGACCAGCTGGTGCTGTGGCTCAGTTTAGACATGAGAGGGGGCACTAGGGATCCACAGAAGGCTAAGGGGCCCCCTTGGGGCCGTGCTGCTGTGTTCCGCTGGCATGCTGGCCCGAGAGACGCGGGAGGACTGCGAAGGCCCCAGCCAGCCTGGTCTGCGGGGCGAGGGAGAGGAAGGAACTAGAGCTCCGGGGTCTGTGGCCTGTCGGAGTGGGAGGCTGCCGAGCTCATGAGCAGAGCTGGGCAGCCGGGAGCGGCGGCTGGTCTGGGGCAGTTCGCCATGGCCTTGGCCCTGGGTGAGCGGACTTCAGAGACCACGGCCCCTTTGTGCCTGGCTCTCCTCTCTGGCTGCCCGGGACAGCGGCTGTGGAGGAGCCCAGCCTGTGCAAAGGCCCAGGAGTTGGCCGCAGCTGTGAGAACGCAGGAGCCCCTCTGTTAGGCATCATCGGTGTGGCCCAAGCCACGGCAGGGGGGCAGTAACGTGGTGGTTCAGAGTGTGGGTTCTGGCCCTGCCTGCCTGGGAAGAAGCCCATTTTGCCACTTTGCTGAGCCTGTGATCCTGGACTAGTTCATTCTCTCTCTGTACCTGGGTCTCTATATTTGTAAAGTGGAGTGGTTATTGAACAGTACCTGCTTCATTAGACCGTTTCGAGGACTCTGAGTTTAGAATAGGGTCTAGGGTACAGCAAATGCTCCATAGACTTTTAATTTTTTTTAAATTTTATTTATTTGTGAGAGGGAGAGACAGCGAGAGAGGGAACACAAGCAGGGGGAGTGGGAGAGGGAGAAGCAGGCTCCCTGCTGAGCGGGGAGCCCGATGTGGGGGCTCGATCCCAGGACCCCGGGATCATGACCCGAGCCGAAGGCGGATGCTTAACCTACTGAGCCACCCAGGCGCCCTGACATCGGTTATTATTGTTATTATTATTCCTCAGGGCTGCCAGGACGGAGAGAGGGAGGAAAGGTCTGGAGCTGGCCAGATGGTCCTGGGGAGCCTGAGAAGGGAGGGAGCTCAGGAAGGTAAGGGGGAAGGCCCAGGCCCATCCTCTCAGGAGCCCCGACACGCGGCCTGGGGAGGGCGCACCATGTGGTTCTTCCCTGCGCCCACCCACGGGGCAGCCCCACCTCCCAGGGGAAGCAGAGCAGCTCTGGCTCTGTGGCTGGGCCAGGCCTGGAGCTCGGCTTGCAGGCTCAGATGGCTGTGGTCGCTCTGCAGCGTCTTAGCTCTGTGATTTGGCGGGACTCATTCCACAGCCCCCGTCAGCTTCCCTCCTCCTATATGAAATAGGGCTTGCTGACCCAACTCCGCAGGTGCTGGAAACTGGGAAGCTCCTGACTGTATCCCGAGATCAGCCTTTCTCCTCACGCACTCAGCTTCCCAAGCACCTCTGCCCGGGGCTCCCGGGGACAGACACAGGGTCTCCCGACTCCGGCTCTAGGTAGGTGGGGCAACTCTATTGGGCAGCAGGGCTACCTCAGGGACCAAACTCCCCTCCAACCATGTGTCCAACGGTTTCGTGCCACGTTCAGCCGCTTGGGCCTCTGGTCGGTGGTGCTGATGTGCTCAGGGGCCCCACTGGGGCTCGGACAAGGCGGCGGGGGTGGGATGGGGCGGTGGGGGCTGCAGGCTGGGAAGGCAGCGGGCTGGGGGCAGTGTCCGGGTGGGCTCAGGGCAGCCAGCCCCCTCAGAGGCAGCCAGTGCAGGCGACATTCACACACAGCTCACAGTTGTCCTTAGCGATGCTCTCTGGGCAGGGGAGAAATCTGGTCAGCAGCTGACCGTGAGGCACTGGGGCGCCGGGGAGCTGCATCTCCAGGGGCTGGGGGTGGGGTGGGGGAGGTCTAGCACAGGCATCTCTCTCACAGGTCAGGAGCCTGACGCTTCAGGAGCCGAGGGCAGCTCAGGGGCGAGTCCCAGGCCTCCCTGCCTCTCTGTGCCTGGGCCAGACCCTTACACCCTTGGGGCCGGGGATATTCCTGTTGGCTCTCTTGGGGGGACAGGGGACTGGACACTTTGAGGGTGCCACATTCGCTGGCCCGCTCTGCTTCCTCCCTCATGTTTCAGCTTAGATGTCACCTCCTCTGGGAACCCTTTCAGACCCCTTATGCCACCCCAGACGTGAGCCATCTCTCCTCGGTCCCCTGTGCTTCCCCCATGCCCCCCGTATTCCAGTCCTTGCTTACAGGGCCCTGGCCCAGGGCTCCCTTCCCTCCCATCTGTGAAGTCCGCTAGGATGATCAACGGTCCGGGGTGCTGGGGAGCGAGGGGGGGGTCCTGGCGTGCCTGACTGGCAGTGCCCAGACAGTGAAGGCCAGAGGCTGAGCTTCTTGACTCTCCCTGTCCCAGCCACTGGGTGCTTACTAGAAGGAACATGAAATGGCAGAGCTGGGGGGTGGGGAGGAGAGAGAGCGAGGGGTAGAAAGCTCTGCAGGGGTGGGGATACTCACTCAAGTCCTTGAAGACGCTGTCAGCTTCCTTGGATGCGCAGACCGGCTGCAGGTCCGGCGGCAGGGCCGGGTGGTGACACACGGAGGGCGCAAGGCTCCGGGTCTGGGGGTAGGATTTGGGCCCCCACTGCCCCTCCAGGTCACTAAGCTTCTTCACTGATTCCAGCTGGACCTGGAAGCCTTGGTACTAGGGGGCCGGAGGGGACAGGAGATGAGAGGGTATGAAAACCTGGGCCAGGATGCCAGAGCTCCTCAGGCTCCGCAGAGCCTTCCCTGTTCTCACGGAGGGTCCTGGGAGGGGGGACAGTCTGGGAGGAGGGAGCTGGTGCCACAGGCCCCCAGTAACTGTACATGAGGTTGCAGCGAGGCTGGGGAGCAAGTGATTCAAGGTATGAGCTTTGGAGATCAGTGAACCCCAGTTCGAATCCCAAATCTTCGCAATTAGCCGCCTGTATCTTCTGCACTCGGAGCCTCGTCTGACGAATGAGCCTCCCTAGTGCCTGGCACCGGAGGCACACTCGGTAACAGGGTGATCACCCCTGAACTGACATGGCAAAGTAACCACCCCCAAGCTGGCTGGTTCTAAGGCTAGGGCTGCAGGGGGAAGCTGCCTCTCCTCCACCCCTGACAAGGAGGCCCCACCGAGAGTCAGGAATGTGACAGATACTCGGGGCCACAGACTTCCCCATCCTTGCTGGCCAGTGCCATCTTGCCGCCCCGCAGGCAGGCCTGTTAGGAGCCCCGGGCCCCCTGCTGTCTTCGCTCTGAGCCTTTGTGTAGACTGTGCCCTCTGTCCGAGCAGTCTACATCCTCTGTGCCTGGCTGCCTCCTGCTCAGCCTGCAAGGTCAGCTCAGTTACCTGCCAGGGAAAGTTTTTCTGGTGACTATCCCCCATTCACCCGTACGTGGGTGAATGTAGAGAGCTGGGGGAAGACCCCTCTCCTCTGGGGATCCTTAAGGGCGGGGACCACATCTTGTTCCAGCTTCTGACCTCTGACCAGGACCTGCCTTCTGAGAGGGCAGTGCTGACTACGGAGGTTTATTATTGCTGTCATCACCATTGTCATTGCCATTGGCACTCTGGCTGCCCCCAGCCACCAGCTGCCTTGGTCCCTGGGTTGTGATTAGGTGTTGGGGTGAGCCTTGGGCACTTGCTCCCCTGTATCCCATGAATTTCCCAGCGTTCCCTCTCTGTCCCAGCCTCCCCCCCGGGGACCTTCAGGCAAAGGGCCCGTGGCCGGAGGGACTCACCTGAATGTAGACTGAGTGTGTGTCCTGCAACAGCAGGAGGAGGACCACCGCGGGCAGCAGCCCTGACACCAGGCTGCTGTGCATCTTGCTCTGTCTGTAGCCTACTGCCGCTGTCCACCGACTCCAACCCACTTCCCCCGTGAGGAGCTCTTTATAGGCCGCGCCAGGGCCCTGATCACTCATTAACTGGCCAGCTGGGGTGGGGTTGACAGCTGGATGGCTCTTCGACAGGCCCCAAGCCCATTCCCAGGAAGGGGGCTGGGGGTGATTAAGGGCAGGGAGGCCCAGAGCCTCCTCTACAAAGGAAGCCCAGAACTTCCTCTACATAGGAAGAAGATACTGTGTGGCAGGCACCTGGGGGGAGGGAGGCTCTCTGGGAGGGCCGTGGACACACCACTCAACCTCAGCTCCAGAAGACACCTATTCAAGTGGGAGGATGGAGAGACCATTCTACAGACAGGGAAAGTGAGGCTCAAGAGGTGAAGTAACTTGCCCCAGGTCACCAAGCTAGTCGATGGCAGAGTAGGGACTTGAGTGTCTCTGATTCAGGTCAGCCCATGGTCCTTTCTCCACAGCCTTGGAGACAGATGGACTTGGGCTCAAATCCTGGTCCTTCTGCCGCTGTGTGAGTTTGGACAGGTCACACCAACTCCGACTGATCCTGTTTTGCTCTCTCATCAAGTGGGCATAAGGACGGAATCTACCGTGGGCGGCTGCTGTGAGGATGACGGGCCAGGCCCACTTGAGTTCCCCGGTAACTCGAGCTCCTTAATCTCCCTCTAGGCAATGCCTAACCCACTACCCCAATGGCTGATCGTCAATTGGAGAGAAGAGGGCAAAGTCCCCAAGGGCGTTATCACCACCGCCACCCAGCAGCTGTAAACAGTGCTCCAGCCAGGGCTCACCTCTGCTGGACAGGGAGCCTGGCATGTGACAGGCACCCCACTCATGACATTAAATTGAGGCCCAGATGGCCCAGCAAGGCTCACTCTCCAACCTGTAGCTAAAATTTGACATCGTCACACGCCCTAATACCCTACTTGCCCACACTTTTGCTGATGCATTCCACCTGCCTGAAATGCCCATAACCCCCTTTTTCTTATCTTGGGATGGATGGAAAAGGGCTTGGGCGAGCTTTGGCATTTCCTATGTCTTGCTTTGAATCCAGACTTCAGCCTTTACTCTAGAGTGTGAAGGAATTAATGGACCCTTCCATGCTTTTCCACCTGTAAACTGAAAATAATCATCGGTAACAATAGCTTTCATTTCTTGAGCATGCACCATGGGCAAGCTAAACACAGTGCTCACGCATGTGAGGGTGATTCCATCTAATCCCCTAGGAGAGGTGTAATGGTGGTCTCCATTTTCCAGACGAGTAACCCAAGGCCCAACCAGGTCAAGCACTATGTGAGTAAGAGGAGGCAGCAGGCTTTGTCTCTGGAATTCTTGCATCTGTTCAGCTGACTGAGAAAGGAACCTGGGCCTTGGAGGCACGAAGATCTCAGCGCTTCTCAACCGTGTGACTTTGGGTAACTTATGTAGCTTCTCTGAGCCTGTTTCTTCATCAGGAAGTGGAGGAAATCATGGACAGTTTCATAGTGGTTGTTGTGAGGAAACACTAACCAGGCCCGTCGCAGGGGAGCCCGTGACTCTCCCTGATCCCAAGCTGACCATTTCCCCAGCTAGCATCTGTCCATGGCGGCCACGCAGTCCGTGGAGGCGCCTCTGCCTCTCCTTCTCCAGGGAACTCTCCCTGACAAGCCCCGTTTCTGAACCTGCAGCTGAACAGTTCTGATCTTTAACTCCCACATCCTTGCTCTTTCAACCAGAGCAAGCTCAGCCCCACTGGCCCTCCAGGACAGGAGAGGAACGAACCCACGGGGTCTGGAGGCCCCTCTTTCTCTCTCTGCCTTCCGGCCCCTCCAGCCCGTCGTGTGTTACTCTTTTCCTGGGAATAAGTTGTGACTTCCCTATCTGCCTAACGTGACTCAAATTCCTATTTCGGCCCAGCTCCTCCTAATCACTTCATGAATGACTCACCATCCATCAAAACTGAGTCACAGGTGGAAACCCACGCTGCCGCCCCCATTCAGCCAGGGTGCTCTGATGTTTCCCAGGGAGCTCTGACATTCCTCTGACCATCACACCAGCCTGGATTCTGGTCTCTGTGTGGAAGCTTCAAACGCCACAGTAGAGTGAGTGACCGTTCGCCTGTATGTGTGTGTGTGTGTGTGTGTGTGTCTGTGTGTGTGTGTTCGGGCGTTCCTCTCTCCGAACCTGGTTCCCTGCCCAGGGCCCACCGCCGCAGAGCCCCAGCACTTGTGACCCTCCCTGCGCCTAAATGGACCACTTCGCGAGCAGCATTTGTCACAGCTGACCACTCTGTTTCTCTTGGAATAAAGCATTTTCTCCACTTGCCTTCTGGGACGCACACTCTCCAATCTCATTGGCTCATCTCCTTGGGCTTCTCTGTGGGTTGTCCCTTCTCTTTTTGACCTCTAGACCTCAGAATGCTCCAGGGGCTCCAGCGCTCAGTCCTGGGACCACTCTTCTGTGTCTGGTCACCAGTGATCTTATCTCGTCTCAGGGACTTCAATGCCATGAGTTCCTGATTCTCCCCCTAACCTGACCTCTCCCCTCAATTCCAGACTCCTTTGTTTACCAGCTCAGCATCTCCCATAACAGTCAATAGTACAACCAGTCACACAGTTGCTCAGGTGGAAAATCTGAGAGTCATTCTTGATGCCTTTTTTTTTTTAATTTGCCAAATTCAATTCATTGGCAAATCCATTTGGCTCTACCTTTAAAATATTTCTAGACTCTAACCATGACTCACCATCTCCACGGCTACCCAAGGTCCAAGCTATCATCACTGATCATTGATTTCATGGATTATTACAACAGCCTTGTATTAGTCAGAATTTTCCAGAGGAAAAAAACCAATGTAGAATATATATAACATTGGCTACTTTCCCAAAATTGATCTTGTCAAGGTCACCAGCCACTTCCATGTTGCCAAACCCAGGGGGGCAGTTCTCGGTCTTCATCTTACCAGAGCTAACTACAGCCTTTGACCCACGTAATCATGCGCTGGTTTCTGAAACACCTTCTTCATTTGGCTTTGAAGACACAACTCTCACATTGGGCTCTATCTACTACTGCTCCTTCTCCTTCTGCTGTGCTGGTTCCTGCCTCTCTGCCTTACCTCCAAATGTCGCAGTGCCCTATTATAGTTCTGTCTTGGGACATCTCCTCTCTTCCGTCCAGTCACTCCCTCAATCCAGTGTCAGAACCCAATGAATCATATACTCCCTGATGATTTTACATATATATAATTTATATCTCATCATTCCTTCCTTTCTTCTACCTACCTATCATTAGATTTATTTTAAGAAATTGGCTTATTTAATTGTGGGGCTGGTAAGTCTGAAATCTGTAGGGCAGAGTGCAGACTGGTGGGCTGGAAATTCAGGTAAGAGTTGATGTTGCATTCTTGAGTCTTAGACCTATAAGGCAGGCCAGCAGGTGGCAAAGGCAGATAGGGTCTTTATGTTGCGATCTTGGGGCAGAATTTCCTCTTCTTTGGGAAACCTCAGTCTTTGCTCTTAAGGCCTTCAACTAATTGGGTGAAGCCCATCCACATTATTCACTCAAAGTCTGCTGATTATAAATGTTAATCATATCTGAAAGATTATCTTCACAGCAACATCCAGACTGTTGTTTGACCAAACAACTGTGCACCACAGCCTGGTCAAGAGAGACTTTCAACCAGATCGCTCTGTAGCCACCCTTGCCCCTCTTCAGGAGTCTTCTCCACACACAGCCAGAGTGATCCTATCACAATCTAAGTCACACCATGTCTCTCCTCTGCTCTAATCTGCTAACAGCTTCCTGCTTTACTCAGGGTAAATCCAAAGGCTTCCACTGTTCTACAAAGTCCCTCTGGCACCCCTCCAAAGATTTTGACCTTATCTCCAAAGAGTCTGCTCTTCACTCTCTGGGTTCTGGCCACACTAGCTTCCTTGCTGTCACCCAAACACGCCAAAGTTTGCTTACTTCGGGGTCTTTGCTCTTCTCCCACATATTTATATGGCTCACCTGTCACTTCGTCCAGGTATCTGCTCAAATGCCACTTCCCCAAAGAGCTTTTTCCTGGCCATCCTAGCTTGTTTCCTTGCTTACTTGTAGCACCAGTCCTATGTATACATTTCGTTTCTTGCATTTCCCTCCCCTACTAGATTGTAAGCTCTATTAGAGTAAGGGATTTGTCTATTTTGTTCTCCCAAAACAATATCTGGCACATAGCTGGGGCTCAACCAATAGCTGATGAGTTGAGTGAATGAATGTGTTGGAAATACCGACTCCAGGAACCCCTAGATGTTTGGTCTGGACAGTTTCCTACTTCTCTGAGCCTCACTCATCACATCTAGCACCTTCCTGACACATGTAAGGGGCCTGGCCCATGCTGTGTGTTCAAAAAATACTGGTTATTATTCTTTTCATAGTTGTGAAATCATTTGTTTATCAAGAAACAATCCTTTTTGTGTCTTAGCTTCATAGCAAACTCTAAGGCATTCAATAACTTAACAAATATTTACTGATGGCCTCCCATGTGACAAGCACCATTCTAGGCACAAGAGATACAGCAACCAATGAAATGGACAAAGTCACTGCCCACCATGCCGTACTGGTGGCTTGGACAGGGGGTCGGAATTGAGATGTGAGCAGGTGTTGGATTCTAGAGATTCTTTGAAGTTGGAGCCACAGGATTATTTTCTGTTACCTTGGATGTCAAGGGTGAATGAAGAGAGGAGTCAAAGACAACTCTAAGGTTGTCCCAAGTCAAGCAGTGCTGTCTTCTATTGAGATGGGAACCAGAAATGAGCAGGTCTAGTGAGGGTATCAAGAGTTCTGGTTGGATTTGTTAACTTTGAGATGCCTGTTTGACATCTGTAAAGATGAGGGCCACAGACATACATGTTGTGGTCATCAGGGAGTATATGATTCATTGGGTTCTGACACTGGATTGAGGGAGTGACTGGACGGAAGAGAGGAGATGTCCCAAGACAGAACCATAATAGGGCACTGCGACATTTGGAGGTAAGGCAGAGAGGCAGGAACCAGCACAGCAGAAGGAGAAGGAGCAGTAGTAGATAGAGCCCAATGTGAGAGTTGTGTCTTCAAAGCCAAATGAAGAAGGTGTTTCAGAAACCAGCGCATGATTACGTGGGTCAAAGGCTGTAGTTAGCTCTGGTAAGATGAAGACCGAGAACTGCCCCCCTGGGTTTGGCAACATGGAAGTGGCTGGTGACCTTGACAAGATCAATTTTGGGAAAGTAGCCGACGTAAAGCTGAGTGGAGTGGGATCAAGAAAGGAAGATAGGGAGTGGACCTAGTGGGAGTGCTGTTGGCTCTAGAGGCAGAGTTTTTAGCTATCACTTTAAATTAAAGGCTAAAATGGAAAGATGACACATTTAAAGAAGGATCAGCATATTGGGTCCAACACATGAGCAGACCCTGTATGGGGAGCTGATTAAACCAAGGTGCGGTGGATTTCCCAGCAGTCTCCCAAATGAAATATTGGCCTGTCGCTGGAGAAGTGGGTGACCTAGGGAGTGGTTCTATTTTCGCTATGGCCCACAGGAAACTTAAAACCAAATGTGTGGGCGCCTGGGTGGCTCAGTCGGTTGGGCGACTGCCTTCGGCTCAGGTCATGATCCTGGAGTCCCGGGATCGAGTCCCGCATCGGGCTCCCTGCTCAGCGGGGAGTCTGCTTCTCCCTCTGACCCTCCCCCCTCTCAGGCTCTCTCTCTCTCTCTCATTCTCTCTCAAATAAATAAATAAAATCTTTTAAAAAACCCCAAATGTGTACCCCAATATTAGTAATCATACCGAATCTCATTCAATCTGTCTTCCCCTTTGGCTCTTTTCCCAGCCTATCCATATTGTATTGATCTTGCTCTGCACACACCCACCCCCACCCTCCCACCCCCACCCACGCACCCACACCCACACCCATCCACCCACACATACACACCCCCGGCCTCCCACACACACCCACGAGCCCCCCACCCCTTTCTGGTTTGTTTATGTTCTCACCAGCTTCATTGTTTTTATGGACTGGGGGTTGGGTAAGAAGTGTTTAAGCACAAATAAGTGAATCAGGGTTGCCCCCTGGTGATGGGCAGGTGACACTGCAGGCAGAGAAAGCCCAATTGCCTTTAATCCTCAAAGAATCCATCTTTCTGAGGCACTGCTTGAGAGTTAATGGGAGAGCAAATGGGTGAACATTTATACTCTCTGATTTGAGGGGCACTGGGAAGCCTCTGTCCCCATGTCCATGCCTGGGTGGTGGTGGTGGGGGGATCCTACCCGTGTGATCATGATGGTGACCGTTAGTGATGCTCCTTGGAGATGCCAGAGGGAAAATGTGTGCAGTTGTTATGGAAAAATTCCTGCTTGCTGGCTGATGCCCAAGTCCTGTGGTCTCCAGACAGCAGATGCTGAGGTGGATAAAAAGGCTGAAATGGGGAGGAGAGGGAGGAAAAGTTCAGGCCATAGGGGTGGGGGGACCTGGCACTGAAATCGAGTCTTGGGACCAGCCAAGGGGTAGCTGAGGCAGCAAGAGAAACAGAGGATGAGACGTGTGGGCTTCCAGAGACCAGTGTTGCCCGAGCTGGGCTGCTCTGGGAGGAGGGGATGGTGTGTGCCTCTGACCCTGACTTCTGCTGGCATTTCTGACTTCCTTCCCCTGCAGTCAAAGGCAGGCATGGCAAGGTGTGTGTGTGTGTGTGTGTGTGTGTGTGTGCGCGCGTGCACATCCACATGCTTGTAAGCATGTGTATGGAAACGTGTATGCTTGGGCATGTGTGTGAGTGTGCATACATGTGAGTGTGTCTGTGTGCATTTGTGCGTGCATGGACGAGTGTGATGTGTTGTGAGTGTGCACGTGTGGGTGTGTTTGTGCGTGCATATGCATGCATGTGTGAGAATAGTGTGTTGGTATGTGGGTGCTTCATGTGTCTGTGTGTCTGCAGGTGTGAGAGCGTGGGTATGTGTGTCTACGAGTGCGCGTGTACAAGCGCGTGTAGGCACGTGCATGTGAGCACAAGTGTGAGCAGATATGGGTGTGAGTGGTGTCTGGGAGCATGTGTCTGTGTGGGTGTGTGCAGGGGAGGGTGTGTGAGCATGTGTTGGTGTTGGAAGGGAGGCCGTGCGTGTTTGGCTGAGAGGGCTCTGGCTGGTGCAGGAGGGCCCCGCGGAGCCGGCGCGCGTGGAGGGCGCACGGTGTGGCGAGAGGCGGGCAGGAGCCAGGGGGAGGCGGTCCGGGAGCAGCGGCCCTGACGCTGGGAGATGAATGGAGCAGCCGGGAAGGTCCGTCCAGCCCGCGGCAGCCACATCAGAACGTTCTCGCTTCTTCCACTCCCTGCTCCCGCCAGCAGCCGGCCGAATGCTGTGGCTCTGAAGTCAGGCCGACCGCGGCCCACGAATCACCCACTTCTCCAAGTGTCAGCTCTCGGTTGTGAGGCGGGGATAGCACCCTTGGCTGCAGAGCGGGGGCCGTGAGGGCGAAGGGGAGCCGTCATGCCCGCGAGCGCTCCCTGGCGGCCGAGGAGGTGCCAGGCCCCCATGGGAGGGCCTTGCAAGTGCAAACACATGGCTTCCTCACGCGACCCCGCGCGGGAGAAAAGTCCGCTTTCAGCGACAACGCCGGGGCACGGAGGGCTTTGCTCATGTGCCTGATAACACACACCTTCCACGGGGCAGGTGCCGTCCTCAGCACCGGCCCCTCAGCCCCCGGGAGCAGCAGGTGGCTCTAGAGCACGCCTGCCCGTGCTGGGCCCGTGCTGGGCCCGTGCTGGGCATGTCCCGGACCCTCCGGAGGCCGCCCCTCGTCCCCTCCGCCCTCCGCCCCTTCTAGGGGTGGAAGGGGACGATCGAGGGAGAGAATGCGTCCTCTTCTCATCCCCGGTGAGCACTACCTCGCCACAGAAGTTCCTGGGTTCCTGGAATTCTGGTCACTCAAAGAGTAGACACGGATGTCGGTTGCGTACCCACACCACTGGCAACGCGACAATAACAACATAGTGCGAGTGTACAACGTGCTCAGGCGCGATTCTTCATTTCACCGACAAACATTTACTAGGCACCAACCAGGGTCTGGAAATGGCAAAGACAGTCGTGCCCGCAAAGGGCCCGCAGTCCGTAAGGACAGATGAGGACAGATGCAGGGAGCGGGGAAGCTGGGGGCGGGGGCAGGACCCCCGAGGAGGTGCCACCTGCCTCCAGTGAGGAAGTGGGGGAGCTCTCAGGCTCCTCCAGCCCTTTGCTCCCATCTCATGCCCGGGGTGCCCCTCTACCCTCTTCTACCCCACTAGGGCACCAGCCCAGACCACGGCCCTCCCTCCTCTCCTCTTCTGAGGGACTCCTGCAGCCCTTGTGCCCCCGCCGTGGAACCGAGTGTCTGCTACCTTTGTAATTGGGTTTTCAGTGCAAGGGACCCATCTCCACCGTTAGACTGCGTACCCTCCAGGGCACAGGCTCAATTTCACATTCCCAGACACCCGCGCCTAGTTGGCCTAGACTGGGACACACTCACCCTTACTGATGCTTGAGTCTGGGGGTTCTTTGTCTGCGCCCCGCCCACCCCTCCCCCCCCCCCCCCCCCCCCGCCCCGGGGGCGGAACCGCTGAGGAAATCCTAAGTGCTGAGTCAGGGCCCAGCTTTGGCAAGCAGGACGGCGCCTCATTAAGTGGGGACGGGATACAAACTCCCCGCAGCATTCATGGGATCGATGTCCAAGGCGCAGCTGCCATCTATGTTTTAAAATTTGCAGTTGGGGATCATTGTGAAACTTGATTGCTCTGTCTTGGGGACTTCTTGAAGTCCAACTCCACAATAAAGCCAATCAGACTCAACCATCAGATGTCAAATAGGGGCTAATGAACCATTCACGGGCTTGGGAGAGAAATCAGGCAATCTCTTATTTCACGATCATCCCTTCCAAATATTGAATCTGAACTGTAAGCAGAATTTGCCATAATTGCGTCCCCCTCCTCTCGGGCGTGGGGGATCATTGGCATTCACGGCATGTCTCGGCTTTCTGGAGAGAGGCTTGACGAGCCGACCCACTGCTTTCCAGAGGCACGTGCTTCTGGGG